AGCTCTATACCAGCAGCTACCTGCTAAGGGGAGAAGGCCAGCAGGTGGGGAGAGAAATGGCCCTGCTAAGACACAGGGCTGAAGAACCCATATGGGCAGCCAGGAGAGAAGAAGGAGGAGAAAGCATGAACTTCCTTGCATGCCCTGCAGCTGGTTTGGAGGCAACAAGTCTTTTAGACCTTAGAGGTTCATGCTATAAAGTCAGAGCTGCTCAGAAACCAATGATCTTCCACTCCCTCTGTTAAAAGACGTCTAACGGCTTCATGTGAAAAATAAGCATGTTTCTGCCACTGGCAGATGGTAGGATGAAATCCAGGATCCTGAACAGCCCCAGGGTTTGCAGTTGGTGCTAGGTTGGGTATGTGCAGTCACTTGCTGTTCAGGTAGGGGATGTGTGGGCCAGGGACTGTCTGGAAAAAAGAGCTGACCTCATGCAAACACAGGATGAGAAAGGGCCTTCAGAAATGCTGGGAGGGACCACCCTTAACAGTTTCACTATGCAGACTCACCCAACACATCAGCCTTGAACTACGTAAAATAATGTGGTAGCCTTGATTTTCACAGCTTTTGATTTCCATCATGTAACATGGGCTGGGAAATGACATCTTTTGGCACATTGTCAGTATGATTCTTAACCCAAGAATGCTCCTGTACAGATGTTTTTCTTGCTTTCTCTAAAGCAAAGCCAAAGAACCGGTATGGGATGCTCTGAAAGAGATGCCTAGGAAGACAGATTTGGGGTTTCCCAGCCAGCTCTACCTTGGCTGAGAGCGGCAGGAACTTCCCAGCCCTGGAAGGGCCTTCTTGTCACGGCCTGTTCCCTGTAAACATGTTTGAGATGCAGGATGGGGGCCCCCACCTGCCTCTCTGAGCAGCCTGTATCAAACAGCACACATTAGCCAAACCATGCTGCAGTCTGTCTGGGCTCTCGCTCAGGGCTAAACACCTTTTGCCAAGTTGGTTTACTGCAGTCTCAAGTCTTTCCTCCACAGAATAGCAGCTCAGAGTTCACTTAACCACTGAAAATTTTTTGCTTTGAATTTTCCTCTGGGGTAGTTCACTTTTATTTCCAATTTTTGCTGTTCCTCACTTACCGCAATTTCTTTGGAATTAAATAAATGGGCAATTTTCTCTTAGTCTCCCAGACTATTTTAGGCACAGACTGTGGGTCTATGGAGATGACTCCAGCCTCATTGTACTGTGTACGCTGCTGGCCTGTGTAAGGTACTAACACTCTTCTATTTTCCAACAGAGATGCATATTCTTCTGTTACTTATTTCCCACCGCTTGCTAACATCAGCAGGTCAGGACAGGGGCATGCAACAAGCATGGTACCCTCCTGCCAGCTTGCCTCTAGCTGCACGCTGGGATCTGCAACCTGCCTGGACAGCGAGCACCCAAAGGCCTGTAGCCGGGCTTTCATGGCAGGATTCACCCAAAAGCCAGATTCTAGCTAGCTTTTAACAAGGCTTGTTATGGAAAACATGGCCATGCTTTCCTCCAAGACTGGCTCTCAGCAGGGAGCTGGGCACTCAGACAGCCTCCCTGCAGCACGCTGACCCTGTCATGACCAGTTTTCTGATAGGTAGCGCTCACCCCCTGACAGCCAGCTCAGAGCTTCCTTTCAGAGGTTATCGCTCTATCAACTGTTACTGGTTTAATAAAGCCATTGAGGACTCAGTTCTTGGTACTTTCTGGTTGTTTTCTTCTAGTCTTTCTCTCACCTTGACACTTGCGCGCACCTCCAGGGATCGTTCATACAGCATGTGTCTCTCTGATTAATGTTAAAACGTCTCAGTGTGAAAACTAAGTACTAAAAAAGGGGTTGTGACTCAGATGTGCAGTAACATTTTAAGTCCTCTGCTGATCACTTAGTGTCAAACCCGCTCTTAAATTTTCCATTGCCAACTGTGCAGAACAAGTGCAACATTATCTATTTCCCTAACTCCTTTTCCAGCACTAGACAGAACCAGCTCTGCACTCCCCATTAATCTATGGTGCTTGCCTCTCCCATCACAACTTAATTCTTTTACCTGAACCCTGATTTAATACCTCCTTTGTTCCCTGTATTTGTCCAGTTTCTTAATGTGCTGATCTGGCTTAGGGCTTGTTTACTACACCCAACTGGAATATTTTGTATTCTTATACAAAGATGAATGAAGATCAATATCCTCATTGATTTGCCCTAGGTCATCAGGTAAATCAGTAAGAAAAAAAATTGTGCATCCTACTTCATTTGCTTAAATCAGCAGTACAGTTCAAATAATAAAACAGTGCTGCAACAACACTCCAGTAGGAACTCTGAAATCCACCTGAAATACTGCTTTTGTTTCACATATTACTTGTAAAAACTTGTGTCCAAATGCTGAAAAGAAGCTTGGATGAAGATGCAACAGGATTGCTAACTACACTAGGTAAACCTCGGTGGGATATTCCCATTTTTCTCCGCATCTCTAAGGTAATCAAATTTGTTAACAGCCCCTATTACCTGGGGATGAAGGACAAGGATGTTGCAGGTAATGCAGACACCAATTTTTGTAATTCAATTCTCTCATGTAGTTGTCCCAGTATTAAGATTAATCAGTGCTTTCCTGTAACGCGCTTGCAGAGAGCTGCTGGTGCAGGAGGAAGTTCCTGTCACAGCTGACATGGCTCAAGCTAAGAGTGTCTGCAATTCCGCTAATAAACTGAGCAAGCGTTAAGTACAGTTAGCTTGCAGTGCGGCAGGGGATACTAAACCACTAGTCTCAGACTTCAGATGCAATATACAGAAAGCGTTCGTACAATTTCTTGAGGACCCGCTTTGAGTCACTGCTGTCCAAGTGACTGACTATCACTAAAAACATTCTTGAGGTCACCAATTTTTGTATGCAGTTATGACAGTGGTTATTCCTTCCTCTTTTCTGCATAGGAAGATACAAATAGAAGATACAAAACTAACAGAGGAAAGGAAATAGTAAAGAGCAACTCCAATATCTTCCACTATGAGCTCCACAGTTGAGAGTTGTTATTTTGCTTTTCAAAAATATACAAGATCTGGATTTGCAAAGCTCTTGCTACCTTCATGAAAGAAGCATACCATCAGACCCTGTACAAAGAATCCCTTTTTGTCACAGCCGAGCATGTTTATGTTATTGGTATCAGAGAAAGTTTTGATAACTTCTAATACAAATTTTTTTACTGAATAAAACATACCTGAAGATAATGTTCTAACATGGCCCATCACTGCGGAGTGATGTACAACAGAACCACCTGTCCCTTCTGTGTCCCGACCTTTAGCTTATTCTGCCTGTGACTTTACCTACATGCATGACACCATTGCCTGTATCAGTTTTCCAAGGGAAGCAGTAGCACTAGGACAACATAAAAGCTGCACTTTCAAATGATGACGGCCAAATCTAGGCCGTTCACTTCTATAGAGATGATCTTACAATCTGTTTGAAGTCTTTTTATTGAGCATTGGAGCAAATATTCATAGTGCATGTCACCTCGCAAAGACTAGTAACCTCCTCTTGTCTCACGCCTCAATATTTTATTTCCATATGCTGCACTCTATTTCAACATTTAGAGTTTCTGTTCCTAGTCCTAGCTGTAGAGAAAATAAGGACTCAAATAAGTTCAACTGCATTTCCAAAGCACTGGCAGATAGCCTACTGATGAGTTGGACGAAACCATCAGAAAGGACTGAAACAAATCTGTTCCAAAAAGTAATATTTGAACTAAGAAAGACCACAGTCCAGCATGCATTGTGTAAAGGCTTTTCCTTTGCTACAGGTGTGTCACAAAACCAGAGCCCAGTGCTTAATCAGGAAGCTTGATCATTGACAGTTGCAAAGATGAAAGCTGTAACGGTTATCCAAAATCTACAAAGAGTAGTACTTTAGTTCAGATACACTTATTGCCCAGCCATAGAATCATGTTTCGAAAAGCAAAGCACTAAAAGAGTAAATACCATAACCGTCTATGTGGAAAGCAAGAACTGGTACCTAAATGCAAGAGCGAGGAGCGGTAAAACAAAAAACCAACCTTGCTAAAGATTCTTATTTTGCAAGAGGAAATAACTTTGGATTCAGGATTTTCTTAGCAGTCAATCTCCACTTTAAAGAAATGAGGCAGTGAAAGGCTTATCTAGCATTTAGAGTCTTTACTTTACATGAGGGCATGCACCTCAGCTTGAGAAGAAAGGGCCTCAGGTTAAAAACACTGCATAAAGCAGCGTTGCTGCAGCTTGGCAAGTATTCTTCACGGCACAATGTAAAATTCCTACCATTCCTGAATCACTGCAGTACTTAAAGATGATTTCAAAACATATTCAAGCAGTAATTCATTTGAGCAGTTTCTTTTTTCCATGAAACAAGTTTCAGAATTGAGCACTAGGTGAAGATTCAGGTATTCTGGCAGAGGCTTGTAGTGTGGAAAGTCACCTCAAGAATTTTTCTGTCCTACACCGTAGAAGGTGGAGACAATACTAGTCATCAATGCAGAACCAAAGGAGAAGTAAGCATTAGTAAAACTTAACAGATTAGGTAATGAATATAGTTACGTTACTGTTATTTAATTCAATAGTTACTAACAATAGAGAGAATAGTTGCAACAGAGTCAGCTGTTGTTCCCCAAGTCCTGAAACACAATTACTAAAGGAGTATGGTTTGGATCTCCTTGCACAGAAGCAACAAACCTGTAACTGGAAATAGATTGTATTTATTATATCTAAGTAGCACAGTCGTGTTACTCTAGTTCTCTCTCATGAAAGAAGATTGAGGGAGCAAAACTACTGACCCATTTTTTACGAAGAATGAAGCTCATCCTAAAATCCTATTCAAAAGGCTTGCTTACAATCCAACATTACTGAAGTAAATAGCTTGACAGTACTCGATGCACTCGAATTCTAGCTTCACAGAACAGTTATTACACACAGCCCTCAAGTAGTAAGTCCTTATACATACAAGCCCACTCTTAAAAGGTTGCTGCCAATCCCCCAGAGAGAAGCTACAAAGAACTCCATACACACACACATTTTTATTTTAATAAATACAGTTTTACAGGCTCAGGCTTTTTTTTAAAAATCACATATACAGAACAGAAAAATGCCTGACCAAGTAACATGAATTAAACTACTAACCCTGGGAAGGAATGCATGCCCTCTAGAACACTGAAGACCTTAACTGAAAAGGGACTTCCCATCGGCAGCATAGTAATTTACTTCACAGATTAGACAACTTGAAAGAGATGTGGCCAAAGCAAAGAGAGTGATCCTAAATGGACCACTTGTCTTTATAGAGCCACACAGTGCAAGGAAAGCCAAGAGCCCAAACGCCTCCATTTTCTAGTGTCACTGCTGGATGAATATGTATGTCTTCACATCCTTTAAGCAATACATTCTAACCACAAGTAGAGAGGCTAAGCACAGCAGGTATGCAAAATTATTCCATTGAAGAACAGAGATTGGATGACAAGGTAATGTTATATTTCCAGATTTTAAATTAGCAGATGCCTTTGCATCCCCTTCAGTATGGCAGTGGAACAGATCCCACCTTCTCTCACAGAGGTTTAGTCCAAAAACTTCCTGTTGGCATTAGCACCAAAGAGAGCCACTCTGATTTCTGGCATCATCTGTTGAGAAAGATTACATCAGTTATATGCAATGGGCAATACAATTGCTGTACACTCCTCATTGCAGGCACTGTGTGATAGCTAGGCTAGGCTTCAAAATCAAGTCAGTTCATCTGAGTTTTCTGAAGCCTTTACCTAATCACACATTGCCAGCTATTCTATAAAGGATTGCCTATACTGCAGCATAAGAAAGAGATGCCAGAGTTAGTTTTTTCCACTAGGGTATAATAGGTCTCAGCCAAAGTTTCTAGTACTCAAGCTAGCTTCAGTAATTCAAGTTAGCCTCAGCATTTCAGCATCTTGACTGCAGTGCAGTCATAACAAGTCTTTCAGTACCATAATTTCTAGAATTTTATGCTCATGCTTAATTCAAAAGGCATCATTCTGGGAAAAGCCATATTTGTTGTAGAGAAGCATAAACAATAGGTAATTTGCTTCTTTCCATTCAAAAATAACTTACTTGCCATCCACGTTGAAATCTGATCCCACACATTATTGTGACAGTTAACACATTGGAAACACTAGGATTTAATTACAAGACAAAACTAGTTAATTATATCTTGTTCACCTTGGCTGTTAGAGAAACTCACCTGCTGGGCTACAAGATCCAGCCGACTTTCCAGGGTATTGGAAACCTTAATTTTACCATCGCTGTTATAGATTTCAACACCTCCAGCACTAGAAAGGGGAAAAAAAAATAATCCGTGAAATCCATGGTACATCTCAAAGTCACAATGTGGCAGAGAGGTTACCCCAAATCAGCACTTATAGGCAAGTCAAATACAAAGATAAGATTTTTATTTTTTAAAAAACAAACTTTTTTTGATACAAGTCTTAATAGGAATCAGCACAAAGTGATCCAGTGAAGCAGCAGTGCAAAGCATCTTTGGAGTTATCAGAGACCACAGCCACCTACAAGAGTCCTCATTAGCATGATCTAAATGCAAGTGGAGTTATGGAATTTGTCACTTCAAAACAGCTCCAGACTCTGTATTTTATTATTAACAGACAGCGTTCAGATTTTGGGATGTGAGGAAGAGTGCTAAAAGTGTTGTTTGCTGGCCCATACATAAAGGCCGCTGACTATCAGAATATACAGCTTTGTGCCATGTTCTTTATCACACTCTATGAAAACAGAGCCTTGCAGACATAGCAGACACAAACCCCATCAAATGATTATCCTGCAGCACCTGATGACTCAATTTGCTTCATCTTGAGACAGAAAGCATGGCTACATCCATATTCTCTCTCTTTAAAAGACCAATAGTTAGTTAAGTTTCTACCTACAGTTATTCTCTACTTCAGTACTGTGAATCAGGCTGGAGGTTGCACAAAACTTCTATTAACATTTTTGATTGAGACAGTGCTTGTCTGGAGGAAACTGCAGAGTCTGTGCTTGATTAACACAAAGAAGTGCCAAATTCCACTAGAACAGCAGCAGACGCACTGTGGGGATATTCCATACATAATTTTCTGCGACTGTTCTAGTAGGAGCTGTGGCTTGAAAAGTTGCGTTAAGTTAGTGCTCTGTATAAAAGATTCCCATTTTCCTTACATTTCCTCTGGCAGGAAGTTGTCTTGGTCAATGTGAACATCCACATCCCTTTTTGTGGCATTTTTGTAGATGGGAATGCTCTTCTGTACAGCTGTCTAGGATACAAGATAAACCTCCAATTAGCTTTGACAAATGCTAGCACACCACTTGGGTTTGGTCACTCAATCATTTGTAGTAATAAAATGAAGGGATTGAGGCCTCTTTTTTTTTTTTTTTTTTAATTAAGCAAATGTATTTCTGTTTGGCTTTTGAGCCAAAACCAATTATTATTCTTAATATTGTAGCACTGTCTAAAGTTTCGTAGGTAATATTCAAGCAAGCAAATGATGATCCCCAACTTGAAAAGCATACTTGTTCTCTTGCATTATATCTACAGCAGAAGTGCAGCAAGCAAAGCTTGTTTTCATGTCACACAGATGAGATCTGAGCAGCAAATATTTGCAGTCAGGTCCCAGCCTTCATGAGCAGGATACTGTCAAACTATTCTAGGTATCTTACCTTAACCATAGGAAGATCCTGTTTCCTGCACCGAACAACTATTCTGGGCTCAAGCAGCTGGTAGAATCCCTGTACAAGATAACCATTATGGTATCAGAAAGTCAACATTTTAATTGTCTAAGAATTATTTAACCCCAAGAAAGGAAAGGAGCTGATCGATTTGAAAACCAAAACCTGACAATATTAGCCTCTGATTTGCTCGGAAGTTTACCTCATACAGACATTCTGAGAGGACGGCACCAATATCTGGGAAAGAGCCTACAACTATGGATTATGTACTGTTTCTTTGTTAGCTTCAAGTTTGGAACTCAAGCGCAACTAAACGTATGTATCATAGGATTGAGTTGCCCAGACAATGTACACGTATACATAAGGATCATTGCTGTCTAAGCAGACTGAGCATGCAGCCAAGCTGACATTCTCCTATGCAGCTCTTGGAGAAGACATGCAGTGGTTTCAGATGCCTGTTCTAATAACTCCTGCCTTGCAGTTCCTCTAGTAATACATGAGAATAGAACAGAACAGAATAGGTTTAGTTCCAGGTGGAAGGGACCTACAACAATCATCTAGTCCAACTGTGAGTACTGATGAGTACAGATCCCTCACTGGATCAAATGTAATGAGCCAAGACAGATGTGGCCAGCTTGCAAGAGTGAGACAGGTTTGTTTGATGCACAGCAATACCAGACCTAGGTGTGACAAAGAAACAACACTGAATTGGAAGCACAAGCTGGTAGAAAACACTTTTAAGAAAACTCTGCCATCAAACTGCGGACAGGAGAGCTCATGGCTGGCTTCGGTGACAGTTTATAGCAAAAGGACCAATTCATACCAGAAGGTGGCAATAGTGGTTGCACAACTGACCCTGGCCAATGTTTATTGGATTTTTAGCAGTTAATTTCTGGGGCTTGAGGATGGTATTCTAGCTAACCAAAGCTTTGATTTCTGCTTCGTATGTCTGTCACAAATGCATGTCACACTACAGTAAATTTGTCAAAGCCAGGACTTATAAGTCTCAAATGCCAAAAAGATTTTAAAAGCGGGTAACTATTGACTCACAGGTTTGGAGAAACAGCTTTTGTGAACAGGGCATTTGATCCAACTAATTACTACAGAAACTTAAAGTGTGCATCCTAAATTGCATGTTACAATGTATGTGCACGCATCTGCAATTATTCTTATAATGGAACTGCTGCTTGGTATACCAGGTTTTACACCTCAAAACAAGCTGCAGCCTTATCTGTTCAGAATCCAAGATTGAAAGATACGGCAGAAGTGATGTTTAAAACTCAAAGATCACCCAGCAACATTTGATCTAGACTCCAATACAACTGAACCTCCAGTGGGTTATGTTTGAAGAAAGACACCTAGGAGGATGGGGCTGTGATCATCCATTTGTTACAATTTAAATATTTACCTGTAGGACTAGTCCGTCCAGCAGTGTCTGGTACCTGGCAGTGTCCTTCACCACCTTGGCAAGTCTCTGCTTGGCCTCATTCAGCAAATCCTACATTCAGAAGAAATCAGATCAGCAGAGCCCATCTGTTTGGCATTTGGTTTCATGCCTACCAACTTTCTGTACTCCTATTATAGCTATCACACCCTGCCAACACGTAAATGTACACTCCAGCTGGTGTTCATCCAAGCTAGACCTTCATCTCTGTGCACAGCACAATATCCTTTCCAAACAGTTCCTTTCTCCCTGCCCTGATCTGAACCCATTATAACCTGACAATAATTCCTTTTTCATGAAAAATGGAGGCCTCTGTAGTAAAAGGATAGTATTTATAATATTAATTCAGACAAACTAAAATATTTTGTAAATCATTGCCTAATGTAAACTAATAAAGTTGTCCAAATAACTAATTTTGTTCAGCTTTGTGGTCGAGCAAAGAAATCTAATCTATCTTTTTATCAAACAATATTCAGGTTAGCTATTTTTTAATTTTAAGTAAATGTAAATCAAAATTTAGAAGTGAGAGCTTATTTAAATTTGAAGTAGTTGGTTTTGATTATCCTTTTTCAGCAAATCAGTATCAGATGAGATTGAATTTTTAAGAAATTTGAGTCAATTCAAACTCAGTTCCTAGAACTGAACCATCATAATTACTTCAGATAAAGAAATTGTATGATTTGGTATAAACCTTTCTTTACTGTCCTGCCTCATAGCGTTTAAAAGAAGAGTGCATGTTAACACAATCAGTACTAGGATATAAGACTATCACAACTTAACGTCACGGTCAAACCTAGTTATACTGTCCACCCTAGAGTAACATAGCATTTCTGGAACTGCTCATCTCTCTTGTTCATGAAAGAGGCCAAAGATCTGATAAGGGAAGAAAAGACCTAGCAGCATGTGACTTTAAATGTTTTAAAATGAGGAAGAGTGTTATGCATTACTCAGAAGCATGAGGTTGAGTCAGCTGATAAATGAGGAAGAGATTACCCAGCAGAGACTATCACAATAGAGTTAGCTCTTTAGCCACCCACCTTCCTCCTCTCTGTGAATACAATCTAAAGTTTGAAATTAGATTTAAAAGAATCAACAAACTCATGATTTTCTTCTGCTAACTCCCCTTTTTCATGGTAGCATCAACTTCAGCAACATTACCCAATTCTTCATTTTTGACTTCTACAAGTGTTGCAGCTTTTCCAATAGCTCAACAGCACCATCTAGCAGAGTATGAACACTCAAACTGTTTCTTAGACGGGGTAAGGGATCATAGAAAACCTGCAAGCTGTATAATGAGCAGAACGAGAATACACTACACGTGGCGTAAGATAAACATAGTAAGCCTGAACTAAGACTAAACGTAGCCTGCTCTGATAAATCATCACTCACCCTATACGCCAACACACAGACTGGTCACCTACTAGAACAAAAAGCAAACGTTTTCACATACTGGGGGCCACTGAAGGAGACACAAAAACCCAGTTCCTGGTGTTTTAAGCCTACTTGCTTAAGCTATGCCAGATTTAATGCATAAATGTTGCTTCAGGCAAACAGAACTTCAAAGTTCTACCATCCGTGCAAGAGAGAATTCCTGCTCTTTAAAGAAATAAGCTATTGTCCAAACGATAGATAAAACTGCTGCCTGCAATGTTCCTGGCAGAGAACTGCATTTCCCTAAAAGAGCAGGTAATAGAAACTGTGAAAATAAGCTAAAGCAGACTACTGAAGCTGGACTAAATCCTTAGTGACTTTTCAGAGCAGCTGGGAAAGTCCTTTTTGTATGTTGAAGCAAATGTCACTCAATCACAAATCATATTTTTCTTTAGAGAATGGCTAAAAACCATTTCCTAACAGACGGTAGGAATAGAACCTCCGTGCCTTTACTACAGAGATACTCACTGCAATAAGGTCATCCCTTGCCTTGAGGACCTTCAGTCTTGCCTGATTCATCAGGTTGGACATCTGACTGCAAATTGCATGATAAAGTTGAATCAATCCATCAGACTTTGTCAGAAGAACTACAACATTTAACTGCATACTTCACACTTAAAGATAACAATACTACAACATTTAATAACAAAGCCTGTTCACCTGTTTGAAGCTGCTTCTGAACTTGCACAAATTATTACAATGCAGAACCCCGTCCTTCCGTAAAGACCCACCAAAACTAAACCTGACATGAACATTTGTCCCAGAGTAAGAGACCAGGATAGAGTTCTAGACATTAACTACATAAAGAAACATGAAAGATTCTTTCACACTTACTAACAGTTATACTATTGTAGCTCACCTTTGATAACTTCTTCCCAGAAAAAACCAGAAACTCATAATTAAAACTACATATATTGGCTGCAATTTGCCTATTTGCCAGGAAAAAACAGTTCTGTATAAAATTAGCAATAAAATGAGAGTTCAGGCTCTGAAGTCAGCCACCTAACCTAAGCAACTTACATTTTCTTTTGCTGTTCAATTTGTTTCTCCTTCTTTTCGTAATACTCCATGATTTTCAGCCTCTGTGTCTGAACAAGGCGACCCTTCTCAATGTTGAATTCTTCTTCTGCCTATAGTAAAAATTAAATAACTGAAGTGGAAATTGATTCCATGGGCTGAAAAAACCAGAATGAAAATGAAACAGCCATGCTTTCAGAGCACATTCATAGATAAGCTAGGATGATGCAATTTATGGTTCCATATAAACAAAAATTTCAACCAGTACTCAAGTCAAAGGGAGTTCAGGATGTGTTTTGCTGAACTAGAACCTTGCTAACTATGATACAACTTATTTTATCAATTGACTGACATGTGTTTCCTTGCAGTATTTATTCCTTAGGCACAAAATTATCAAATTTATATATCATATACTGTTAAACAAAACTTATTTTATCTGAGCTTCAGGTCTGATTTGTTTTTGTAGAATTGGCCTCTTTTCTGGCTACAAGAGATTCCGCCTAAAACAAGATACCCAGCCCTCAGTGTCTCCAAACTTCATTACTTTAAGCAATTCTTACACAAGGAGAGTGACAGTATAGCTATTACTTTTTTATAAAGCCTAGCGAGGCAGCATGTGAAAACACGTGGCAAATTTTCCTATTTATACCTGAGAATCCAATCTCAACTTCTGACTTCTGTTTGCAGATCATCAGGAATACCTGCTTTAGTACTGATTAAATATTTGTGTAGATCTAAACGTTTAAGGGAGATTAAATATTATTAGTAATACATATGGTGAGTCCAATACCAACAAGATACTTCAGTATTGGTATAATGCAGATGGTTAGGGTTGTAAGGCACCATTAATCCTTCTTTAGTAAACATCTGTATTCTATCACCAGGTTAATATTAAACTCATTCTCTTGTGGCTTAACCTAAGTGAAGAATTCTGCAAGTAATTCAACTCATGCCTTAAATATAAATTTATTTTTTAGTTCCCCAGGATACTTACTAAATCACACCTAGAATTAAGTCTGCAGGTGGCTACACAGGTTTAGATACAGTTACGAACCTGCTTACAAACAAACTTTCGCTAACACAATTCAACCAGTTTAACTTTCATCTTTTATCATTTTGGTACATGTATGAATGCTTGTGCAAGATTACTAACATTATTGCTTTAATTTACTACTAATGTTTCTGCCTGACACGCTATGGAAGTCAAGCAAAAATTAAAATTAAACCTTCTGGTAATAGCTTGTTATGACAAACCTGTCAGAATTCATAATTATGCAGAGAACTCCCTTTAATCCTCAATGATGTCAAGTTATGTATAGGAGGTGGGGGAAGATGTTCCACTTAATCTAGTCTACTCACATTACCACGGAGCTCTCCTGATTGCTTAAAAAAAAAAAAATGAGTGAACTTGCATATGAATAAATTTATATTTAAGAACCACTAAGAAAACTCTGACCGAAAAATAGCTCTGACTTGTTTTGATTTGTCAAAAGCTAACAAATATTAACTTAATTTGGTAGCATTGTTTTTTGCTATGTAACAACTAAACGTGAAGTAAGCTGCAGTTTACAAAAGTGTTCTAGGGCTGCTCTGGCTGTAACTATCAAAACAGGATGTCAGATGCAGTTTTCCTTTTGCGCTTACTGACATTGAACTTCAATTTTTACCTTTGCATCTATTTCTTCAGCCTTTTCATTGGCTTCCTGCTCAATGAAAGCCATCATATGCTTGATCTGTAACAAGAGAGAGAAAAGAAAGTATTTTCTGTTGGAAAGGACTTTGATGAGAGAAAGTATGTATCTATTCCTCATTTGTACAGTAGGCCCCTCCATATCCATTTACTAATTCATATAATGTTGTTTTTCAAGGAAATTAAATTAAGCATACAGGTCAAAGAGTCAGTTCATCTTAAGACAGAGTACAAGAAAATTAATTTATTTTTTCAAATAATTCTATATAATGCTGTTTCACTAGCTGTCATTAGACAAATGTAGTTTAGATATGCAACTATACAAAAAAAAAACACCAACCCAAAAGTAAATTTGTATAAATGTGAGGCTGGGTATTTTCATTTTTCACTAGCGAGAACAACTTCCCCCCCCGCCAGGATTAGTTTAAAAAAAAAAAAAAAAAAAAAATCCTCACACAGTAAAATTAAAGTTTTTTGTTTGTTATGACATTTACATGAAACATAGAAGATTAACATAGCCTCCCTGCTCTACATCAGGCATAGATGGCATTTGAATGAACCTGGGCCTTCCACACTACTTCACGGACCACTGAAGCAAATCAAAAGGCTACTGACCACTCTGGTCAGATCTGTACAACCAGAAAGAAGTTCCTTAGATCCTTTATATACCTGAGAAATTTTTCTTGAAAAAATGTAACAAATTCTCACTTACAAAGTCATTAAAAAATGCTGCTATATGGTTCAAGTCAAAGGACTTTATAAAGTAGTTGCATATTAGTTTGGAAGAGCTGGGGAAGAAGACAGACAGCAGCGCTAGTTGATCAAGACCACATCACGTATATCAGATGCTGCTTTAGAGCCTGGTATGCACTAATATATTCCACTTGAAGAACTTTTTTGAAATCACCTCAAAACACGATAAAGCACAAGTCCAATAGCTTAAAGACAAGGAAAGCAATTATACTGAGTTCTGCTTATTCATCACAGGCCTTTCTGTGACCCAGCCTAAGTTTAGGTTCACATTTGGTGCAGACTGTAAGGACTCATGCCCAACCAAACTGCAACTTTGAATAGGTATAGCCATTTCAAAGGGCAGGTGGAGCGGACCATAAAAACCTACTGAATTTTTGCTTGCACTTAGTGATGAGGCACATTTTGCAGACAATCCGGTCTGAATAAACTTACATGAAAGATTCTATTTATATAATCTCATGTTAAAATGAAATATTTTAAAGACATAAGAAAGGTGCCAATGTGAAAACTGAGCCAACGTGCAGAACAGCACTATGCCCATATAGATGAAAAAACGGAAGCGAACAGACACATGGAAGATTTTAAGCACGTGCAGTGGAAGAAGTGAACTATAATATCTACATCCTTAAAATCAGATCAGCAATTTTTCTTGTAATTCCAGTTTGCAACACTTCCAAGTGCATTTCCACCTACAGTGTCAGTTTCCTACCCTGCTCACCTGATTAGATGAGTGGTTAAACCAAGCTTTAGACCTACCGCATTTCAGAAAGGACAAGAAAGGCATATAAAATAAGGAAATAATTTTGCTGAATAGCCTATTGTTGAAGGAGGCTAAGAACTTTTGTATAGCAACCCTTACATTACTGAGCTACTTCTTCCAGTTTAGTTTGGTTTCTGAATTTTGGAAAAGTACTTTAACAGTTCCAAGGGTTCCTGAAACGTTCTCTACATAACGAAGAAGAATAAGATGGAAGCAAGCTGATATGGCATCCATTTCCCCTAGTCTGATACGATTGAACAGTGTTATTTCCTTCAAAATCTGTTGCACTGAAATCCCTTTTTGCTTTTCATAGAAATGAAAAAGAGATCCTAAATGAGACTTTCACATCTATAAATAGGATTAGTTTTAATAACACTGAAAAAAAATGTATTTTTAAATGAGAGATTAATTTTAAATGAAGTTAATAACTTCAGCATAGTAGTATTTCCTATAGAAAGAAAGAGAGGGTTTTTCCCATCAGTAGTAGCATGATTATCCTTTCCATGGGAAGTTCTAGGTGTTAGACTGGCTTTAGCTAGAAGCGACTAGCCAGATTAGATGGAACAATCTATTAAACACCTTTCACAAAATAAAGCAAGCAAGTCTATCAATGGGAAAAATTCTTAATTAGAGATGATTTTCAAAGTGAAAATTATTGAAAGCACCATGGCAAGTAGTTAAGAGTTCAGAGAACCAGCTGGCAAGTTCATACCGGATTTATACACATGCAGAACTGTCATGCCATCAGCAGCATTCTCTTTTCCAATCAACAGGATCACCCTAGGCTCACGAGTGTGAAACAATGACAGGCAAGTTGCAGATGTGAAATGCTATTAGCATTACATGTTTAGTATATCAACAGATCCTGAACTAACTTTTGAAGTTCAGGTCCATGGTGGCTGAGCAAGACCACCCCAATGTCAGCTTTATTTTTATTATCTTCATGGAAGAGGCAGGAAAAAACAAACAAGCTTTGCGGATAAAAGGCAAGAGAATGTAATGTTACAATTCCCCTTTTGCAGAAAGGCAACCTACTGATTTTACTTTCAATGTGATGCTTCCTTGCCAAGACACTATGTTTACTGAATGAGAAAGTGAGACACGAAGCATTTATGATGCAAAGGACAAGGGGAACTAGGCTGATCTGCTCATCACCTGTAGGAAACTCCACGGACCAGCACTGACTGGATCCGTGCAGTCTTTAATACGGCACGCCATTTTCAACCCAGATCAAAGCAGCTTTTTTAGGCAAGGGCAGTGTTTACTGTCAATAAGGACAAAGTGTCCTGCCTCAGGAGGAAGTGTCCACAGTTAGACTTCAGGGTTGTAAGTTTCCATTGCAAGAGAAGCCCAGGTTGCACCACTCTGCTTAGGATATAAAAGTGAAAAAGGCATTCGAGAATGATGAATAGCCTACCCAAACGCTAAGTTACAGCTAATTAGATGTAGTATAGCTATAAGAAAAAAAGAGATGAAAAGTCCTCAGAGAGCAACATCTAAAAAGACAGTACTTATCTAGGGCAATGTATTTATCTGCCTTAAAGTGCAGTTAAACACTGTAGATAGCAAAAAGGCTACTTATGATCCCTTTCATTATAATCTGGCATAATAGGCCATCAAAATGCTTCAACAAAGTTCCCCAATGGGTGGCCAATCAATCCCGCCAGGGAAAAACTCACTTTCTCCAGAGACTTCTCTTTCTCACTAAGATTCCCAGAGAAGATCTTTCCCCTTCACCAACCCTTGCTTTCACAGGAGAGCACCACTGTTCCACCTACAGAGCAGGAGACCCTATTCCACAACTAAAACGTGAATCC